GCGCTGGCCAATTATTTCTGATTCACTTGACTTGTAGCCTTAAAAACCAGGAATTACTTCATTTTTTTGTTTTTATTCTGTTGTTTTTCCAGGACATCCAGAAAACTGAACCACAGTCGGACAATCGTATGGTTAGAAATATACACCGAGTTCTGTTCCAGAACGAATTTCCGTTACGTAATGAACTGTTCCGGTAAATTAACATGATTTTGCTGCGAGATCAATAATTCTGAATTTCTGATGATTTAATTTTTCGATACATGCTGCTTCGTGAAAGATATAATGCATTTCCATGTTTCTTTGGATGGCGCACAGCAGAACGGGAAATTTTTGAGTATAAATTAAGCTTGATTGAAATTTTATTGCGGGTGTGGAACGTGGTCACTGGTGAGATAAAGCTGTGAATGCTGGCTGTGAAGCAGATGACAGTGGGAGGAAATGCCTTTTTATAACAGCATAAATAATTGGTCTCTTTCTCCGTTGGGTTTTGTGCAGAGTATCTTGCGACAACGCAAACAGATGAATTGAACAGGCTTCTCGCCTTGTTGACAGTCGATGCACATATTGTATTATGGACAGTCGACAGGAATTGTCCCGGCGAGCAAAATTTGAAGCGCTGCTGTGTTCGAGCAGTAGAGACGCAGTTTGTGGAATGCTTAGCGTAGTTGTCGTGAAGTGTGAATGTGTAGTAGTAAAGTTAGAGCTCCCCATTCAGGAGATACTGTTGATTCGAGGTTGTTTTAGTTAACTGCTAAGATTTGAAGATGAGAATTTCTAGGAAAGGTCGAATGGCTTATGTTGTTGATTTGGAGGAAGAAGAAAATGATCTACCAACAACGCTGTTACGTTCTGTTCACGATTGTCCGGTTAACGAGAGTACTCACGACATAAATACAAGCAATATGCTGATACAGGTTTACCTAGCTCCAACACTTCCGTTATCAGATTTTGTTTATCTGCGATAGGATTTTTTTTTGTTTGGCCATTCAGAACAGTATTTTTCCAGTCTTAATGTTTAAATTTATGGTATCACTGTCCTCCTGCGCGTGTAGGCAGCCTCAAGTGGAACAGAGCCTGAATTGCATTTTACATTTGCACATTTCATTTGACAAGATTTGCATTTCTTGCCCACAAAAAATTCTAAATTTGACTTTTTTGTGTCATAAAAATACAGGCAAATTGCATTTAATAAGTGAACAACATCCTGTTTTTGATGCTTTTGTTATAAATGTTCAGACATCTAGTTGGGTAATTGACCTGAGGTTCCCGTGTTGATAAGAATGTCACAGGGAATGTCACTGCTGATATCACCAGATGCCCTGCCCAACTTGCTGGAATTCCTTATGTGGTCACAATGATAGTAGTTCATTTAATGGAAAACTCTAATTACTCACTTACGTCGTCACATAAAGACGCTGTCGCTCAGCTGCTTCCATCACTGATGGCGGTTCGCATTCAACACCGATGGGCACGATTCTTCCGATTTAACACTGAGTGCGTCTGTCGACCAGCATACGTTCGTTTCCTTAACAGTTTCCACATAGTTCCTTCCGAATTCTTTATGTACACTTGAATTTGCATCGAAGCATCCAGCTCTGCGCTATCTAATTCATTTTCGTAGCCGACGGTTGAGAGACAGGGAGGGAGTTGATATTTCGCTTACGGTCCTGCGGCTGTTTCAAGGCAAAGATTTGATCCGTTGTGCTGTTGTTGCTCCGAAATCCATCTTACAATTTGCTGCTGCTCGTCTAGGATCTTATTATTTGGTTAAAAATAGTCGTGAGCAGTCTATAAAAAAAGAGGAGGCAGACAGGTGATTGATTGTTCGGATCTTTCATATCGTTGTGCTTGTACAACAAAACGTACTCTCTCCAACCGTTCGGTAAGCTTCTTTCGGCCTTATACAGACTGGATTTTCTAGCGAGAGTTTTTCCAGATTTAGTGCCATCCGTATCTGACGAGTCCATTCTTAGTTTCATCGCTCTCTGAAACCTATCCACTTTTCGTTTGGAAAACTGTTGACAGGTGCTTCTTAGTAGCTTGAATTACAGGTGCTCGGATTCGTGTAGAAATTTTCTACATGTATTATCCATTTCTTTGTTTGATTTCCATTTTCACTTTTAATAGCCGCTGTTACAGAGTGGTATCGCAATAGGTCTTTCTTACACTTCTTCAGACAACACTGTTTGCCTTCTGCTGACGACTCTCTTCAAGGTGCTCAACAACTTGACGACGATTTCGTTACCCATTTTAATCCTCTGCAGTGCTTGCAGAAAAGAGCGTTTCACGTTTCGGCTCATATCTCGTTTCATCCTTCTCTTTCGCAGCAGTAATTTCGTCTTGAAAATCATCGAATTCGGCCGCTGAGGTTTAGGGCGCTCGATGGCGCATTTCAGAAAATTTTCAGTAAGGTATCTGTGGTATTTTTTACCCTTGTCGTCCTCCACTGATTTCTTGCGACCTTTTTTACTGACTTGTAGTTACCTCGCTTTCAAGAGCCGGAATAATATGTATTTTTGCTCACAACATGCGGTGGTCGCTTCTTTTATCAAATAAGAGGCTGTGAAATTCGCCAGATGCTGACGAAAATGTAGTCGATTTTTTCGGGACATAATTGCCGCATGTGCAGGCTTGGCGGCTAACGTAGCTCTGAGTACTATCATTGCTGGGGACGGCAAGAACATAAACTCGGCTAATTTGTTAGCCAGAGGATGGGTGTACCGGTGCACGACCCATATTTCATTCCCTGCTAACTTCCTCCTTTCTCTCGCTCTGCATACCCGATTACGTCGGTATTATCTTTAGACTTGACGAATTCGTAACCAATTTTCCACTTTATTGTT